GACGTTAATTATGAAAACGTAGCAAAATCGCTTTGCATGATGGAAAAAACATGGTGACTCACCACCTGATAAATTTAATATATGCAGAGGTATGGTATAGGGGAACATTACTCCATCTGGTGCTCACCAACTGCCCAATAAGATTCACAAAAGCTTATAAAGAACTCAATAACGATCAGATTCAGCACCTCTCGAGAGGCGATATATCTAAGGTAGTTGTTGTTTTGGATAAAGACGAATATTTAAGTAAAATGAACCATTTATTAAGAGAAATGTATGAATCTCTGATTAAGAACCCCACAGATCAAGTCAACAGCCATTTCAAGGAACTCCTTTAAACGTTATTGAAGGTGAATGATGAATTAATTAAATATCTGTCGGCTAGATCTGCAACTCTACCATATCTTTATGGGGCAATCAGGTCTCATAAACCGGGTACCCAGCCCGTCCTATTGTAAGTCCAGTAGGCTCAGTAGCATATAACCTGTCTAAATGGTTGGTCAAACTTCTAACTCCCATGGTTGGTAGGCTCACGGATACACATTAAAAATAATGTTGACGTTACTGAAAGGCTCTACAAATTTAATGTCCCACATGACTTTACCCTAGTGAGCTTTGATGTTACAGCTCTGTTCACTAGAGTCCCTGTCCCTGACTTGCTTACGTACTTTGAAGAGGAACTCGAGAACTTCCCCATCTCTTACCCTACGAACATAATAAATTAATTGATCCAACTTTGTATTTCTGATTGCAAATTTGTGTTTGAAGGGATAAACTATGCTCAAAATCAAGGTACGGCGACTGGAAATCCCAGTATCCCCTTAGCAACTTGTATATGGAATTTTGAGACTAGACTTCAAGTCATTCTCCCAGATATAGCCAGGTGGTTCAGATACGTAGATGATTTTCTTTGCCTATGGCCTAGGGATCACAACATTGATGAGTTCCTCCCTAGACTCTAGTACCTTCCATTAAATTAACAAAACATGAAATAAACACTTTGCCATTCCTAGATGTTTTAATCCATCGTATTGACAGAAAATTCAAATTTACAGTCTATAGGAAGTCCACCAATGTGTCGTCACACATTCATTACTATTCTAATCATGAATTTAGGGTAAAAAGGAGTGTGTTCCTCACAGTGTACTTGAGAGGAGCCTTGCAGCCATCTGCAGTCCAGAGTACTTTAGAGAACGAAATCAACAAGATATTCAACATAGCCACAAAACTGAGATATCCTAGGGATTTTGTCAGAAGTCACTATGTTAGCAATGAAGACTTTCTACACAACTGAACCTAAGGAAGTGATAGCCAGGAAAAATGTACTATACAATGTTATCATTGTATAGTAAAACCATAGTCTGCCTGTGTGAGGCATTAAAAAAGAGCAATATAAACCTGGCTTTCAAAAACACTGGGACAGTGAAACGGAGATTGATTCAAAACACTCCCTCTAACAAAGTTGGTGAGTTTACAAGGTCCCATGTACTCAGTGTCCTCTCTCATATATTGGTCAACAGATAAACCTCTGAAACCAGAATAACACAACATAAATGCTCAATCAAGACAGGGCACGAGTCGAATGCTATCTTTAACCACGTTAGTTTCTGTAATCACTCGCCGGGGTGGGATGCTGCACCGATTATTGCACCTAAAAGTTTAGTCAGGGAAAGAAACAGAATTGAATCTTCTCTCTTGAAAACATAACAGGAATACCGTATGTAATTCAAATTTATGGGTTATACAAGTTCAATAGCTGTTTAGTAGAGTCTATTATACAAAATCTTAAACAATAATGCTACACAAAATCACAGGATTGCTCATTATGCCAGGTGGTTACATAATGGAGTGGTGACGCTCGAGCAGTGTACGCACCTAACATCATGCTGCGTCTGACGTGAATAGCGGCGGCATACTATTTAACCCGTTTAGCTGTTACTGTACCATATATTGACATATACACAAGATTAAATAATAACATAGTAGGGTTAAAAGGATATTCGAAGAGGAAATTTGAATCATAGAAATATTATCAGAATGGTTAAAGAAGATTCCCAAATAATGTGTATTAATTGATACTGAGAAGACTGGTAGACAATATTTAGGAATATATAAGAGAGATACTTCTGAGTACCCCTGGGAATATTCTAGATCCTCAGACTATATCTAAACGGACAAAGAAGTACATTAATTTCTTTTAATTAAAAGATTACACAGAATAATAGCAATCAATATGTACATTATCCACTGTGAAACATATATTCCCAAGTCACATGACTAGCGACTACAAAAAGCTTGGGGCTGGCTGTTATATCTTCTGATTTCATATTCCTAGACTTGTGAAAACCCTTCCCTACCCCTGTGGAGGAGGGGGAGGGGGGGGACACAGGCGGGTGGCACGCAGACTGTTGCTTCACATTCTGACTGCTTCAGGTGTCAGCTTGCATATATATATATGGGTGTGCGCGCGCGCGCGTGTGTGGGGTGCCGAATAGGTAAAACTTGCTCTTTTTGCTTAAATAGCAATGCTCTTCTCGTTGAATAAGACAAGCGAAAATTTGTGAATGTAATAATTTCGCAAAAATCATTCTGAACCTAACGAAAAAATATATTTGTTAATTAATAAATTATTGTAAACATTAATTTGTTAATAAACAAACACTCTTGAAGTCATTATATTTTGTTCCTCAATACGTGTCCGAACCACCTCAACAACCTCTCCTCTGTCCTCTGGATAATAGTTTTGGTAATCCCACACCTCCTCCTAACTTCCAAACTAGAATTCTCTGCATTATATTCACACCACACATTGCCCTCAGATATGACATCTCCACTGCCTCCAGCCTTCTCCTCGCTGCAACATTCATCACCCATGCTTCACAACCATATAAGCGTGTTGTATAATTATACTCTCATACATTCCCCTCTTGCTTCCATGGACAAAGTTCTTTGTCTCCACAGACTCCATGGTGCACCAATCACCTTTTTCCCTTCATCAGTTCTATGATTCACCTCATCTTTCATAGACCCATCTGCCGACACGTCCATTGCTAAATATCTCAATACATTCACCTCCTCCATACTCTCTCCCTCCAATCTGATATCCAATTTTCGTTACCTAATTATATTATCCTCATCACCTTACTCTTTCCTGCATTCACTTTTAATTTTCTTCTTTTACATACCCTACCAAATTCATCCACCAACCTCTGCAACTTCTCTTCAGAATCTCCTAAAAGTACAGTGTCATCAACAAAGAGCAACTGTGACAACTCCCACTTTGTGTTACATTCTTTATCTTTTAACTCCACACCTCTTGCCAAGACCCTCGCATTCACTTCTTTTACAACTCCATCTATAAATATATTAAACAACCACTGTGACATCACACATCCTTGTCTAAGGCCAACTTTTACTGGGAAATAATCTCCCTCTCTCCTACATACTCTAACCTGGGCCTCACTATCCTTGTAAAACCTCTTCACTACTTTCAGTAACCTACCTCCTATTTCACACACTAGTAACATCTGCGACATTTATCCCCTATCCACCCTATTATACACCTATTTCAAAATCATAAATGCCATAAAAACCTTTTTGCCCTAATCTAAATATTATTCACCTATATGTTTCACTGTAAACATTTTGTCTACACACTCCCTACCTTTCCTAAAGCCTCCTTGTTCATCTGCTATCCTACTCTCCGTCTTGCTCTTAATTCTTCCAATAATAACTCTACCATACACTTTATCAGGTATGGTCAACAGTGTTATTCCCCTATAATTTTTGCACTCTTTTGTCCCCTTTGCCTTTATACCAATCCCCAGGTACCTTACCTCTTCCAAACATTTATTAAATAAAAGCACTAACCACTCCAAAACTATATCCCCACCTGCTTTTAACATTTCTATCTTTATCCCATCAATCTCAGCTGCTTTACCCCCATTCATTCTACCCACTGTCTCACGAACTTTTCCCACACTCACAACTGGCTCTTCCTCACTCCTACAAGATGTTATTCCTCCTTGCCCTATACACGAAATCACACGGACTCGACCCCCGCAACCTCAACTAGGTGAGTACACAGTGAGTGCAGGAGTCAGTGAGTGCAGGAGTCAGTGAGTGCAGGAGTCAGTGAGTGCAGGAGTCAGTGAGTGCAGGAGTCAGTGAGTGCAGGAGTCAGTGAGTGCAGGACACAGTGCAGTTCACAGACAGTGAGTGCAGGACACAGTGCAGTTCACAGAGAGTGAGTGCAGTTCACAGAGAGTGAGTGCAGTTCACAGAGAGTGAGTGCAGTTCACAGAGAGTGAGTGCAGTTCACAGAGAGTGAGTGCAGTTCAAGAGAGTGAGTGCAGTTCACAGAGAGTGAGTGCAGTTCACAGAGAGTGAGTGCAGTTCACAGAGAGTGAGTGCAGTTCACAGAGAGTGAGCGCAGTTCACAGAGAGTGAGCGCAGTTCACAGAGAGTGAGCGCAGTTCACAGAGAGTGAGCGCAGTTCACAGAGAGTGAGCGCAGTTCACAGAGAGTGAGCGCAGTTCACAGAGAGTGAGTGCAGTTCACAGAGAGTGAGTGCAGTTCACAGAGAGTGAGTGCAGGACACAGAGAGTGAGTGCAGGTCACAGAGAGTGAGTGCAGGTCACAGAGAGTGAGGCAGGTACACAGAGAGTGAGTGCAGGACACAGAGAGTGAGTGCAGGTCACAGAGAGTGAGTGCAGGTCACAGAGAGTGAGTGCAGGTCACAGAGAGTGAGTGCAGGTCACAGAGAGTGAGTGCAGGTCACAGAGAGTGAGTGCAGGTCACAGAGAGTGAGTGCAGGTCACAGAGAGTGAGTGCAGGTCACAGAGTGAGTGCAGGTCACACAGTGCAGGTCACACAGTGCAGGTCACACAGTGCAGGACACACAGTGCAGGACACACAGTGCAGGACACAGTGAGTGCAGGACAAACAGTGAGTGCAGGACACAGACAGTGAGTGCAGGACACAGTGAGTGCAGGACTTACCTGCTGATACTCAGACGTATCTCGTTTCCGGAGACGAGGTCGAGAAGACATGTTGTAGTCCTGCAGATGTTCAGGTGTTACAGGTGTTGGAAGGCTTCACGTATTATGCTACATATGTTGCGCTCGAATACTCCACATGTTGTTCTCATGTTGAAATGCTGCATATGTTGAGATGATGCAGGTGTTGCGATGATGCGGTGTTGTAATGCTGCAGGTATAGGATTGCTACATAAATTGGAGAATTGAAGATGGAGTGTTGCACAAGGTGTTTCATGTGTTGCAGTTGTTCAAGTGTTGGGTGTGGTGCTGGAGTGTTGGGTGTGGTGCTGGAGTGTTGGGTGTGGTGCTGGAGTGTTGGGTGTGGTGCTGGAGTGTTGGGTGTGGTGCTGGAGTGTTGGGTGTGGTGCTGGAGTGTTGGGTGTGGTGCTGGAGTGTTGGGTGTGGTGCTGGAGTGTTGGTGTGGTGTGGTGCTGGAGTGTTGGGTGTGGTGCTGGAGTGTTGGGTGTGGTGCTGGAGTGTTGGGTGTGGTGCTGGAGTGTTGGGTGTGGTGCTGGAGTGTTGGGTGTGGTGCTGGAGTGTTGGGTGTGGTGCTGGAGTGTTGGGGTGGGGCTGGAGTGTTGGGCGTGGGGCTGGAGTGTTGGGCGTGGGGCTGGAGTGTTGGGCGTGGGGCTGGAGTGTTGGGCGTGGGGCTGGAGTGTTGGGCGTGGGGCTGGAGTGTTGGGCGTGGGGCTGGAGTGTTGGGCGTGGGGCTGGAGTGTTGGGCGTGGGGCTGGAGTGTTGGGCGTGGGGCTGGAGTGTTGGGCGTGGGGCTGGAGTGTTGGGCGTGGGGCTGGAGTGTTGGTGCGGTGGGCTGGAGTGTTGGGCGTGGGGCTGGAGTGTTGGGCGTGGGCTGGAGTGTTGGGCGTGGGGCTGGAGTGTTGAGGTGGTGCTGGAGTGTTGGGTGGTGCTGGAGTGTTGGGGTGGTGCTGGAGTGTTGAGGTGGTGCTGGAGTGTTGAGGTGGTGCTGGAGTGTTGAGGTGGTGCTGGAGTGTTGATGTGGTGCTGGAGTGTTGATGTGGTGCTGGAGTGTTGAGGTGGTGCTGGAGTGATGCAGGTGTTAGTGTAACAGGTTTTGAAATAGTTAAGTGCTGAAGTGACTCAGGTGTTGGAATTACGTGGATGTAAAGAGTTGCAGGTGTTTTCTGTAGGTGTCTTGAGTACTACAACTGTAGAAGTACCACAGATGTTTGACTGAAGCCCGTTCCGAATTACTGCAACCAATGTAGTGCCACGACTGCAAAAGTGCCGCAGGTGTTGAGAGTGCCGCAGGTGTTGAGAGTGCCGCAGGTGTTGAGAGTGCCGCAGGTGTTGAGAGTGCCGCAGGTGTTGAGAGTGCCGCAGGTGTTGAGAGTGCCGCAGGTGTTGAGAGTGCCGCAGGTGTTGAGAGTGCCGCAGGTGTTGAGAGTGCCGCAGGTGTTGAGAGTGCCGCAGGTGTTGAGAGTGCCGCAGGTGTTGAGAGTGCCGCAGGTGTTGAGAGTGCCGCAGGTGTTGAGAGTGCCGCAGGTGTTGGGAGTGCCGCAGGTGTTGGGAGTGCCGCAGGTGTTGAGAGTGCCGCAGGTGTTGGGGCACTGGATACAATACATTGCTGTGTGTCACATGAACAACTGATAAATGGTAACATTTTTCTCTATATATTCTTCTATATATTATAATGAATAAAAATGTTCATATTGTTGGAGATATTACTCAGTGATAATGTTCATATTGTTGGAGATATTACTCAGTGATAATGTTCATATTGTTGGAGATATTACTCAGTGATAATGTTCATATTGTTGGAGATATTACTCAGTGATAATGTTCATATTGTTGGAGATATTACTCAGTGATAATGTTCATATTGTTGGAGATATTACTCAGTGATAATGTTCATATTGTTGGAGATATTACTCAGTGATAATGTTTCATAATTGTTGGAGATATTTACTCAGTGATAATGTTCATATTGTTGGAGATATTACTCAGTGATAAATGTTCATATTGTTGGAGATATTACTCAGTGATAATGTTCATATTGTTGGAGATATTACTCAGTGATAATGTTCATATTGTTGGAGATATTACTCAGTGTTAATGTTTATATTGTAGGAGATATTACTCAGTGTTAATGTTTATATTGTAGGAGATATTACTCAGTGTTAATGTTTATATTGTTGGAGATATTACTCAGTGATAATGTATAAATCACCACCACCACAGCCACCACTACCACCACCACCACAGCCACCAAAAACCACCACTACCACCACAGCCACACCACAGCCACCGCTACCACAACCACCAACCACAGCCGCCGCCACCACCACAACCACCTCTATCACCACCACAGCCACCACAACCACCATCACCACCACAACCACCTCTATCACCACACACAGCCACCGCTACCACCAACCACCACCACAGCCACCACAACCACCACTACCACCACAGCCACCCACCACAGCCACTGCTACCACAACCACCACCACAGCCACCACAACCACCATCACCACCACAACTACCATCACCACCACAGCCACTGCTACCACAAACCACCACCACAGCCACCACAACCACCATCACCACCACAACCACCATCACCACCACAACCACCATCACCACCACAGCCACCGCTACCACAACCAACCACCACAGCCACCACCACCCCCACTGCTACCACAACCACCACCACAGCCACCACAACCCCAACCCCCACAACCACCATCACCACCACAACCACCATCACCACCACACCACCACAACCACCATACCACCACAGCCACCACCACAGCCACTGCTACCACAACCACCACCACAGCCACCACAACCACCATCACCACTACCACCACTACCACTGTTGCAACCCCTGAATGGGTCACAATGTATATAATCTATATTACCTGTTCATATAATTTTATATTGCTTATATTTGCGATAATAGCTAAATCGTAAATATATTGCTTTATATTATTATTTGACTTAGTTATATTGTTAGGTGTTACAAAAAACGCGATTCTAAAAGCTTAGAGATCTCCAGTGAATACTAGAAAGGACTGCCCTTCTAGCATCCAGCCTGTTACTGGGTTTTCGTAACAAGTAGTCAGTATCCTTGTCCAATTATCCATTAAAATTCAGTATGATTCAATAGTGCTTCAGGATTACAACTGGTAGGCTACTAACTAGAGAAATTAAAATTTAATAAATTTATTAATTCTAGAGGTATATTAAATTAAATTAAATTAAATTAATCACAGTAATCAAAATAATATCACATCTCTCGAGTTCAATATTATTGTGCTGAAAGCACATATCACATTTATAATTCTTAAAGGGTACCGTCGGGTACATTAACATTTAATAAGATATTACAAATATGTACAAGTTTGTGTATGCGTGTAAGTGCTCTAAGTAGTTCGCTATGTCTCACGACTCGACTAGACTTAAACAAGTGACTGACAAAGTCCTCTCATAAACTAACTTCTTGACCGACTGGCAACCAGAACAGTCTGCTTGAATAACAAAAAGATTGCTAAGCCCAATAGCAATACAACAAGCAACTGCGACACAAATCAGAAAAGGAGATAAATAACGAACTAAGTAGGGACCATCTGCAGATCCTACACAAAAGTTACAAAACTCCCATACTACTGAATCTAAGTTCAGCATAAGAAAATCTCCGACTGTGATAATATACAGAAACCAGTACAAATTAAGTCAGAAGCTATAGCTCAGGACCTGAAATGTTCAGAGTGTCTATGAGACACACAACCTGAGTACAACGTCGAAAATCACTAAGTCTATACAAGGTTCTGTGAACAGAGTTCTACAGAACTAACAAGAATAATGAGACAGACAATCTGTCCAACCACCAAGCGAGTCTACAGCAGACTGAATATTTCAGGCGAGGTGAGGACACCCCCCCCTCGATCACGTGATAGCTCCGTGGACAGCAGTCGCCCAGCAAGAAGCCGGCAATATAACTAGCAAACAGCGATAATTACAGTAGTTAGAGAATCAAGACTTGAACTGAGCACATAATATGTTACATCCTACCTAACAAAGGAAAATGTCAAATAACAATATAAAGCAATACATTTACGATTTAGCTATTATCGCAAATATAAGCAATATAAAATTAAATGAAAAAGTAATAATTATATACATAATCATTGCAACCATTCAGGGGTTGCAACATTAGGTAGGATGCAACATTCATATATTATGTGCTTATAGTTAGTCTTGATTGCCTAACTACTGTAATTATTGCTCGTGGCTCGTTACTCTGCCGGCTTCTCGGTGTTGCTGGGCAGCAACTGTCCACGGAGCAATCATGTGATCGAGGGGGGTGTTCACACCTCGCCTGGAGTAGTCAGTCTGGGCTAAAACCGCTTGGTGGTTTGGACGTTTTCCCTGACAAGCATGCCTAACTCTCCCTTATTGGCCCTTGTTGGAAGATCGTCTCTGTAGCTTTCTTGTTGGTTCTGTAGAACTCTGTTCACAGAACATTGTCTAGACTGTGATTTTCGACGTTGTACTCAGGTTGTGTCGCATAGACACTCTGAGCAACTCAGGTCCTGAGCTGTAGCTTCTGACCTAACTTGTACTGGTATCTGTGTATTATCACAGTCGGTGATTTTCTTATGCTGAACTTAGATTAAGTAGTATGGGAGTTTTGTGACTTTTGTGGAGGATCTGCTGATGATCCCTACTAGCTGTCGTTATATTATCTCCTTGTTCCTGATTCTGTGTCGCAGTTGCTTGTTATATTGCTATTGCGCTTAGCGGTCGTTTATTGTTCAAGCAAGCTGTTCTGATTGCCAGGTGGTCAAGAAGTTAGTTTATGAGAGGACTTTGTCAGTCACTTGTTTAAGTCTAGTAGTGTCGTGAGACATAGCGAACTACTTAGAGCACTTACACACACACACACAAACTTATTTGTATATTGTATTATTAAATGTTAATGTACCAGACGGTACTTAAGACATAAATATGTGATATGTGCTTTCAGCACAATAATACTGTACACGAGAGAAGTGATTATTATTAATTTGTTTAAGTTGATTAATTTATTTTAATTTGATAATATACTCCTAGACATCTTGATTGTTAATAAATTTATTAAATTTTTATTTCTTTAGTTATTAGCCTACCAGTTGCAATCTTGTAGCACTAATAATTCTTATTGAATTCTAATGGATAATTGGACCAGGATACTGACTAATTGTTACGAAAACCCAGTAACAGGCTGGATGCTAGAAGGGCAGTCCTTTCTAGTATTCACTGGAGATCTCTAAGCTTATTTGAAATCGCGTTTTTTGTAACAATCACCAC